AATTATCCCTTAAATAGTCACGACATCAAGTTTCCCTTACACTCTACTCAACCATTCGTCCAGTTTTTTATGTGTTTTTTACGTTATATTTACAACTGTGAACTAATAATTTGAACGGAGAAGGATTCTTTAGCTCAATGCATTTAGAAACTTCCTTTTTTTATGTCTACTACACATTTAAATTTTGATTTTTTGAAAAATGAGGATTAGCTGATCTAGATATTAGTGTTGCTTGGATACATTCCTCTCTACCTTCATGTTCACTTATTTAATTTGTAGATCCTATCACACGTTTGACACACCTTCGCAAAACCAGAAAATTGGAGGGGAACGTTGGTATTTTTTTTAAATTCGTGAGCTGCCAAAATTGTTTTAATATCATATATGCACTTAAAACTTGCAGCAATTTGGGAGGATATACCACACAAAAATTCCAATTAATGAATTCAAAGCAATTCGGAACTTAAAACCTTATCTTCGGTGTTACAAAATACGGTCTTAGCTCCTCAAATTTCTACCAACCAAAAATATTTGCAGTAGATTTTAAATGCAACTACCTTGAGCCATCGTCAAGAAGACTTGGCAAACGTGATCACGTTCTTTTGTCCTATTCCAGACGACTAACTGATATCGAACAAGTCTATAGGGAGGAGCGAAAAAGCTAGATAAACCGTCCCTGCGAATAGACTCATAGAAGTTTTGTGCTACCGAAAATGAACTTTTAATCTTTGAGTTACTTTGAAATCATTAACTGAATTCATGACTTCAGTGAACAGAATATCACACATTAGTTCTTACACTATGCACACATTCAAATCAAAATCTCCGTATCATTCCTAGGCTGAGGAACGGAGCTTTAAATTTGTGACAGAGGCTTTGAGTAAAATATAGGAACATTAATTTTGAGATGGATGTATCTGCGCAACATTTAAGCCTAATACAGTTATGCATCCATTATCCAAAACTATCGAACTTAAAATGTGCAGTAAACATAAAAAGGAACGTTAACAATACAGTAAATCTAAAAATCCAACCCCAATGAAAATTTTTGTAAATGGCTATAGTGTAAATACAACTCCAAAAAATGGGTGGTTACACTGTAGATGGATCAACGTGCAACCATCTTGACGCAGTTAGTTCTAGGTTGTTCTGGTCCATCATAATAAGCAATGAGATACCCAGATCAGATTGAGAGAAATCGGTAAATTTCTGCTTATTTTCAAAATTTTTTGTTAAAATCCACTTTTATGTGTTCTTTGAAAAACAAATTTTTAGAAACTAAACATTGGAATATTTGTATGGGATGGATATTTCAACGACAAAAATCAGCTATTGACACACGAGAAGCGATAGTTAACAGATGAAGTTCTAGAAATAGTGATTTATTTTTAAAGTAATTATTATTGATCGATCAAAAAAAAAAATTACAAATTTTTTTTTATTGCTCTAAACTGAAAGAATAACCATCTCAATTAAATAATTTGGCAGTTATAACTTAAGAAGAAAAAGAAGATCATGGATACACGTGACCGATGACTTCAACGCATGATGATTGTCTTTAAACAAGATGAGTCGAAGTCGATGAAAGTCGATCTTAGATTAGAATGTAAACTAACACGAGGTTAATTAAATATAACTCCGTGTCGCATACTAAATTTGTTGAAATATAATTCTTTCATGCATAGGTACGCTATTTAACGTTGATTTAGTATTTGCTTATGTATTTTATTGTAACCATGGTTTTCGTTTTGTGCATTTGACAACTTGGTTCGTGTTTTACAAGGTTTCATGTTTGCCTCTGTGTTAAAAAATAAATAAACGTTATCATTCTTTTTGAAAGAATATAGAGAATGTGTCTTTTAAGAGAATCCATACTTAACGGACAGGGTTTACTCGAAAAAGAATGAAAAAACCAGTAGCTAACATGAAATATGCCCCCTTTCAACAGCCATTGAGATGTATATAAAAAAATTGCACCATTTGCAAGCATCCAGTTGTTGGGGTAAAAGTAGGAATAATTAATTACCTATGCATTCTTTGGTTTTGGATACAAATCCATACATTGGCTTGCATTTACAAACAGCTTTGCCATCTTCTTCAACGCAGAATCCATTTTCACATTCACATGCAGTGTCTATATCTTAAAATTAAATAAAGAATGCATATAAGATATAATGTGCCTTGTGAACAACAGTAAAAAGAAAAATTCAAACAAATTTTATCAACTCTCTAACGGGGATATGAGTCAAATAATGATTTAAGATCTCTTAACTGTCTCAAAAAAATTCAAAAGTTCATAAATTTTAATGAAACTAAGTGCATTAAATAGGTTTTTATGCAATTTGTAAACATGGGTTAAAGAATTTTCCAAAAACCTTTTTCACATCTCGTGAGGTTCTTCAAGCTATCCAAACGGTGATGCCATCTCTCAGCAGAGGATCAAAATTTGGATTTCATGTCTTCGTATTATCCTAGGGGATGCTTTCAAGGCGATCGCCAATAGCCAATTATATACTTCAAATAGAACGTATATCAATTACAACTGGAAAAATAAATAAATAAATCAATATGTTATAAGCCCTGGAAAATGTTTGTCCTTTTTTATTAAAAAAATCCACCTTGAGGAAATCGGAGGAGGAATTTTAAAGAAAATTGAACGCAAGTTTCAAAACTTACTTGAAATAGTAAGACTGTTTCACAGAAATAAAAAGATTGAAGAATTAATATTATGAAGTATTTTCACTGTTAAATATTGAATTCCGAGTATTAAAACTGAAAATAGAGCTTATTTTTTTAATCTTAAACTAAAATTAATTAAAATATTGTTAAGATAGAGATTTATTAAGGAATATAATAACGAAAAAAATCGTCCCCATTTAAGAAGAGCAAAAGTTATGAAATATTTCCAATGCTTGCTGCTTTTCATTCCTTATGATATTGTTCATTTATAATCAGTTGAGTTGCCATGCTAACTCTTATTGAAGAGAAATATCTAAGAAGAGCAGGGAGCGTTACTTTAATGAATGAAATTGTTTTTTCTTGGTATCAGGGGCATAAAAACCTATTTAGAAACCGACATTCGAGTAGTGTAAAATATTTAAGTTTTTTTTAAGTGTGGGATAATTTTTTGTGGTTATTAATAAATATACCCTTTAACATTGCTCTCATTTTATCTCTGTATGAGAAAAATTTTTTTTAAATCTAAAATTGATAAAAAAATTCTTTTCGCAGCAATAGTATTTTGTTTTCAAAATTCAGCAGTTTTCATACTTTCTTTAAAAATCAGTTGCTAATTCATTATGTTTGAAATTTTTTAACAAAACCAATCACTTTTAATTGCTGCAAATTAGCTTCATCGTGAAATCATTTTACTAAACACATAAAAGTCTATTTAATGCATTCAGTTTTGTAAAAAAAAATTTGAACTTTTTTTTTTTCTGCTATGCAGTTGATAATTTTTGCTTCTATTCATGCTAAAGCAAAAAATGCATGTTAGAATCAGATTTTTTTTAATGGTTTTTTTTTTTTTGATTTCGTTGCAAGAAACTTTCTAACACACCAATCTTGAATTGTAAAATTAGTAGGATATTGATTTTATTAGCATTTTTTTTCTTAAGGACACGAATTTTTTCCTATTCATTTCGGAAATGTCCTCTGCTTGAAGTGTTAAAAATTTTAATCTTTCACGTAATGCAATCAAACCTTTTTTTAAATTGGAAGTTGTTTAACATAGGTTGGTATGCCTAGTAATATAATTAGAGTACCAGTCTACATATCCAGTTGGTTAGTTTGCTTTCATTCTTTATATTTTTTCATTTCCATTTCTTTCAAGTTTTCTCTGCCTGAAATTATGACTTTAAGTGTTCCATGAACAGATTTTGTGGTTTTCAGATGGGTGGCGACACAAACCAATGAAATACTCAAGCAAATTATATTTGTCTTTCATCATGAAGATGGAGTTTCCATTACGCAGAATATTTATACTTCTACTTCAATTTTCAGTGTTTCTGTGCATAATCTTCATTTGACTTGGTCTTGTTTCCAGAGCAACATGAAAATTTAACTTTCATGAAGAAATTTCATTTGTAGAATTATCTTACACATTTACATCATATGCAAATTACAGGAAGCCATTAGGTGATGTCAATAGTACGTCACAATGCCATGAGTGTGAGAAAAGATTATATAAAGAAGGCTGGCAAGAACTGAATACTGGCAACTGAAATTTTTCGCAAGAGTTCTGCAAGTCACTCATGTAATAGTTAAACCATAATGTAATAGTTAAAACACAGAAGACACACATGGATGATATTTTCTTGTGGTAAAAATATAGGCCACCAGAAATGTAAGAGTGCTCAGTTGGAAGTATCTGAGGAACTTTGCTCAAAGTGTCATCTCTAGGCATTTTCAATGATTCCAAGATGATGGAAATGTAAGTAAACATTACATTGCAGACCATACCCATGTAACAACACCAAATTAGGACCAGTATTTGGGTGATTTTTAGGAAAAATGACAATTCGGACCAAAACATTTCTTCAAATTTGAGGTCTTTAAAGCAATCTAAATTTTTTTTGAATATATTTATTTAGTTACATTTATTAATATCTTACAGACAGCAGTGTAGCAGTGTAGTTTATTGACATTTGCTCAAAATAAAATAGAAATTCACTACATTTTGAATGTCAGGACATATTAGCTTAGACATATATGACATATTAGCTTAGAAGTTTGAAGAAACAGTCATTTTAAGCTATTAGTAAGCAACAAAACCTAAGCCTTTATGTTAGATGAACCATGAATAACCTTGATTAATTCTTTTATCTACTGCAGAAAGAATCAAACAATTTTTTGCTGCTGATATGTACAGAATAAAATTGTGTAAAATAATCAATCATTAAATAAATAAATAACTTTGATTACATTCAATCTTTTTACAATCATAGATAAACTTGGTATTAGGTTAATATTTGCTTTCTCTCTTTACAGTATTAGCAGTTAAAAAATATCTGGTGATCATCTGATCTATCACTTCAATGTCCTGGCATTCATAAGTCAGGAAAATGACAGCCAGGATAATGACAAATTTGCTATTTTATAGCATATAACTTTAATTTAATATTCTGGCCTAGGACGTTTATATTCCACAGAAAACAACATGATTTCTTAAAGTAACTCAGATAAATCTATGTAGCTTATGCTATTAATGATTTCAAGAAGCCAGGAAAATGACAAACACAAAAACCAATCAGCTTGAAAAACTTTTTGAAATAGATTTTGAAATAGAAAGTTGGTTCTTTATTCATGCAACAAGACATGTTCAGATAGGAGGGTATCTAATCAATCTATTAACATAACATATTGATAGCCGGCTCTATCTATTTTTGTTATAAGCCACTGAATAAAAGTAACCATGAAAATGAGAGATTTTCTTGTGACAAACAGATTATTGATAGAAAAAATTATTTTAAACGAAGTTTTTGTAAATAATACCCTCTGAGTATATTCTAGAAAGGCTTACACCGGTTGAGATAAAAAAAAATTAGATATAGAAAAATTTATGGGAAGTTTCGAAGCTAGTTAGTTTGTGACATGCCAGAAACATGAAATTTTGAAGTTCAATTTAATTTTCTAAATATGCAAAATAGTTAATGCTAGTACAAGGTTATTTTAAAATGCTAGCAGCAATGCTATTTATTAATTTTTTTTTAAAAAAAGTTCTTTTAGTAGTTTAGTATTAGATCTTGGTGCAAGTGACTGTAAATTGTCATATTTCGTTAGAATCACCCATTTGGTCGTAACGATCTAAAGAAGCAGACGGAGCTTTTCTCAACTATCTGCAGCCACGGGAACCACTTCTTCAAAGCAAAGCTTGTGCACACATTTGAAAGATTGTAGTCTATATGGTCGCGAGTTTGTAAGATGTATACCGCCCTCGGCTTGGTGATTAGATTGGGTGGTGATCATGAAATACGTAAATCGTCACAATGACCTTGGTTTAAGTTTTCCGACGAATACATGCTAAGATTGTAATGTGATTCAGGTCGGACTTTCATATGTAGAATGTCATGAACCTGTTTTTACCACGTTAACATTATTGAATGACTCCATTACGATGGTGCAGGATTTCTCGTTCAACAGATATATGTGGTCCAATTGGAGCCATTGCTGGCTAAACTTATCGGGGCATCATTCTGATACAATATTTTTTCATACGATTGTTTAACAGAATTTGTATTTATGGATGACAATGTCCATCCTCATCGAACAAACATAGTAAGTCAATGCCCTCAATATGAGGGCATCATCCGTATGGAATGAACTTATTCATTCTCATTGACTTGAATCCGCTAGATTATATGAAAAAAATGCCAAGCTGACAAGTTGCAGCCCTTCAATAAATTCTTGCATGTGTACCAGAACTTTGGAGAGTTTGCTAAGTGGAACAATCATCCCCAAGATTCGATAATTTGATACTCAGCATACCAAGTCGTTTTACGGATAGAACATTATCTAATGTTAGACATTCGATTATTTACCAGGGAGAAGGAAGGGAATATTGGTTATAATTAATCCATTAAACAAAAAATCATAATGACATACTTCATCTATTTTGTTCCTTTTCTTCTGTTTAATAAATTAATAAATGGGTTTTGTTTAATAAATCACGTCTAATTAAAATGATGATTTTAATACAAAAAATATAAAAATATTTCAAATTATGCAAAAAATAATTAGTTAAAAATATATAGAAATTAGCAATGAAAAGTTATGATCTCTTCATCAACTCACACGATTATATATACAAAAATTGTAAAAATTTGAGCTTTCTGATACTGAGTTTATATATCCAAAGCAAAGTGTATCAGTGCAATATTCACATGCAATATTCCACAAACTTTTGTATTGATATAACTGATTGAAACCTTTGTATTGATGTGTCGTATTAATATCTTATTTAAAGCTGCTTACCTACACACTTCTTATCTTTTACAACAAACCCTTTCTTGCAAATACAGGTAATTGTGTTTCCAAACCAGCTAGAAGTAGTTATAGTACATCCATGTCCTTTTCCACAATTGCATGCTGAAACATTAAAATTTTACACCAAATCATTAGTAAAATGAGATATGGAAAATTCAATCATAAAATTATTTTTAATAATATTTAATTAACTTTTTAGAGGTCAAATTATTAAGAAAAAAATGGAAAACAATTATTGGACTTAATTGGAATCTAACTTCTTTTTACACGTAGTTTTGTAGTTACTTAGTTTGTAGTATTTATTCCAGTTGCTTTCAAGCGGGACATCAAAAAGTTCCTAGGTCTTTATTGAGTTTTAACACTCTCAATGTGGTTAAAAACCACTTGATTAATTAGAGTTTTTTTCTTCTTGATGCTTTTTATCACCCTTCAAAATTTGTCGGTCGAACTTTGTTACCCCCTGTATAACAATAAGTTTCAGAAATTGTTTCGCCCGAAAATATTTTTATTTATCTTAAAATTATGTTTTTGTGCTAATCCTTAAAATATTCTCAAATGTTTTCAACAACAGTGATGGATAGAGATAGCAATTTTAACGTTAAAAATTAACTTCTTTTGCTTGTGACAACTAGAAAAGAAACAATTTCTCAAGAACAAAGAAATTATTTTTTAATAAAAAGCTTATATAAAAATGCATACTATCAAAGAGTAATTTACTCTCTGCCTACCAGGGCGAAAAAATATGTTCATGAAAAGAAAAATAAATGTGCTTCCTTGATAAAACAATAATTAACCTTTTCTTAAAACAGAAGGAAAAACTAATCTTGAACTTAATTGATATTAAACTTTTTTTTTGTTTTTCCGTAGTTTTGCAGTTACAAATTTATTTGCCGCTGGGAAACAGTAATATTAGCATTGTCTCAGACTTCAATAATGACAACATTCAGGTTTTCTACAGATTGAAACTTTCTTTTATTAACATGTTCTATTCTTCTCTCTTTCTGCTAAATTTACTTCGCATATGTTTTGAATGCTCAGGCCATGATATATGCACCCTATTTTCAAAAAGCTATTCACAAAGCAGATTTTGCAATGTAAATTAAAACTTTGATTAGCTAGCATATTAAATTTATCTCACCAGCTCGCACAGAAAAGGAAAGTAAATATTTTTTTATTAAGATTTTATTCATTATCGTCAGTAGTTATAAAGCTTAAAAAAACCGAATTCATTTACCTAAGTATCCCCACTCTATCAATGAGTTCGCATCTAGTGGTATTTTTGATAATATTTCTTATTTTTTTCATGTCATGTTCAACAGAGCGTAAAACAAATAAAATATTTACCCAAATAAAGTTTTCATCTATCCAACTACGAGGGTTGCTATTTATATTTCTGGCCTTGGCAACAGTAAGTGTTGCTAGGCGACCGCAGACGATTTTAATCGAAAGTTTGATATTTTTAAACATAAATTCAGTAGACAATTTACCATTATAGCTTTACCAGCGGGTGACCGAGCTCCGCTCGGAGAAAACAGGTATCGAAGCTAACTCGAAGATTTAAATTTTCAATTGTGATTTATCAAAACAATACATGCCATAAGAAAATTTGTGAAACCATTGGTGAAAAGTGCTCCATTGCACCATTGTTGTTAAAGTGCACCATTGTAAACTATCTAAACAAAGTTTGGAAAGGGAACTATTCTATACAAAGGTAAAAGTTTGAAAAGTCAATTGGTCATTTCAC